TTTCTTTTTACATGCGCTACATTGTTCCTGATAATGGATCAGACTATCCTTGTTATGGATGTTCTGTTTTCCCTATCAAGAGCTCACCTTAAGTATTTTGTGATGTACTAAAAGATACTAGTTTCCAAGTTCAAGAAATCTTCTCCCTGGAGATTTTCATGAGCAAGAAACGGTTAACTTCTCTTTCTTAGAGCTCATGAAGTTGTAATTAATGGAAGAATAGGGGGGGCGGAAATATCCCCTCTATCTGTTTAAACTTGAAAATCTTCAAATTCGTATCCTGCCAACTGAACCCAAATTCCCTCACAATTTTGTTTACCGAGCAAGTGCTGTTGATGAGGAGACACTCAACAAAGACTTGGTTGTTTTGATGCCTACGGCATCCTAGACTAAAGAATACACACATGTGTATGCAAAGAAGATGCTTATAACTTACAGCATCATCTATCTAATTTTTATTAAAAGAACACTTTCTAGAATCTAACCAAACTTAAGACTGCCTCAATTAGGCTATCATTTTATACTCCTATCATGATGATAGAAAACAATCATCTAACTCCTAATTATCAATTTCCTGCAATCATGGTTTGTTTCTGTCCACATTAAAACTGTAGGTCCTTGCTCATATTTTTGCAAAGAACCGGAAGCATAAGCACGGTGTGTGAATCTTACCAATACAGATCAATCCGCTTGAGCTGAGTTTGCTGCCAGGTGAACATTCACAATGGAAAGACCCAAGGTTGTTCCTGCAGGCCCCATTGACGCATGGGCTGCTCTCGCATTCATTTACATCTATAATCCAGAAGGAAAAGATTCTGTTAGAACTGCCATGTGTTTCTGGAAAATATTATTCTAACAAGCTATGCTATGCCAGAATGTCTGGTAAACTTGGCTCTTGCAATTCTAATACGGACCTATGAGGCATAAAGTGAAATGAGGAATGGAGACATGCATTTTACAGTGTAGATACACATCTACACGGCTGGGGACTGAGTAAAACTACAGGAACATACTAATTTGAAAGGACTGAGTAGTGAATCTTCAACATTGCTATTAGCTTCCCATAAATTGGATTACTCTCCCACCCCTCATAACAAAATGTAATTGTTCCATGGGAAATTCAAATTCTGATCCATGGATAGCAACATATTCCCAGACACAACAGGCTGTGCAGAAACAAAGGTTGATTGTTTTTGTCATTTATGGATCTGTGAGGCTTTAGAAGAATTAAGAAGAGCCTTGTTAGAAACAAAATATCACAAAGCTGGCTCTAATTCCAGTCTTGGATACATAGCAGGAAGAGGGCTGCAATGTTAATCCTTGGTAAGGCATTCTCTGTTCCCATCGACCAACCATGCTCTGCAACTAACTGTACAGTTAGTTGCCTACGTTTTTAAAATCACAGATGATTTTGGTAAAATAAAAATGAGAAAAACTCGATGGAGTCTATGGAATTCCCCTAAAAAAGCCTCTACAATTATGAATCTGGTCTGAGTCCTAAATTAAACTATACACCATAATCCAAGCAAGCTCTGTTGATGTCAAAGAAGTAAACAGAATTAGAGCACGCTTACCGTTTGCATGTGGTGACTCAAGACAATGTCAAGCCCGTAAAGGGAAATGCTTTCACAAGTGAGTGAATTACAAATAAGGAGAAGTCTCAGTTGTAGTCTAGACACAATATCAAAGCCCAATTCCCCATGAAATCTCAGCCAGTTGGCTTGAAGACGCGACAGACAGATGTCTTTTCCTATGTGGTTAATTATCTGGCACAGGTCACAGTATCTCACGAGATTTTATGCTGAACACCGGGGATTTCTGAGTCCACTGGAGTACCTTTAACACACCCCCCCCTCAGCCCCTCCTCGAATCAAATATAAAGCACTTTACTTTTGGGGGGAAAATCACAGAGACAAACAAAAAGGCAGCAGATGGTAATGCTTCCTCCTTACTGTCTTAGTCAAACATAAACTAAAAGCTGATCCTGAAGGAACAAGGCTCAGAGCGAATTTCCCAGGGAGTGGACTTGAAAGACAGATTAAAAATCCATACTTCAAAAAGTAGGAAAGAAGTGGCTATGCACTGTTTTTAATTCTTGACATAGCAATTATTTGAGAAAATATGACACCAGCTTTTAGATTGCAGTAAAAAAGTCTTCTTACAAGTGAAGTAAGGGGAAAACACAACAGAAGGTTTTGAGACTGCAGCACAGATCTGGAGTGAAAATGTGTGTTGACTTCAGTGTTGAAATTCTGTCAGTGAAATCCCAACAGAAAACAGCAGCCAGATAACCCAAAAGAAAGCAGGTAACTAATCTGAGGCTGGACAATACTGTAGTTCTCCTCCGGGTGCCCTTAGAAAAAGCCTGAGAGGAGACCATCAATACGCTATAAGTGTATTTCAACATCCCTTGCTCTAAATGAAGCAGTTATGAACTCAGAAGCATATACAATGACAGCTACAAATATCAATTGTTTAATTTTTCTTCAAATACAATGTTTTTATGTTATAAACGTCATGGAACCAGGAATTGAAACAGTTCACTGTACATTCCTGGAAATAAACTTCAAAGCACATCTGGTTTACATTGAACTAGTTATGTCACTGGAAATGCAATCTAAACCACAGTGCTTGCTGTAAAAATTTTAACTTTCACAGACTCGGGGCTCAAACGAAATAAGTAAAATAGATTTTTTTTTTATAACTTTGGTCTGAAATAGCAGAGGAGCTTTATGCTCTTTATTATTACTGCTCTTTTTTACACGTTTAAAAATAGCCCGTTAGGAGACATGAATGACCAACACAGTTAGAGGGTGGAGCAGAAACATATAGAGAAAGCCAGCACCGGTCATGAATCTGCGAAAAATTCCCTGTCTAGTCTTTAGAAATTAGCCTAGAAGGAACAGGATGAAGAGCAGTGCTCTAGGCGGACCCCCTGGCTGGGTGAAGGCTGTGGTGGCAGTAAGCAGGAAGTCCCAGGGAAAGCGTTTCGTGGTGGTCAGGTCTACATTTGCAAAAACACGTAACAAAACAGAAATACAACCGAACAGTGGGAAGAATGTGTAGAAATAACCGGACAATTGTTTGGTTAGGTTTCCCTTAATAAATCATTTTTATATCCACCAATGTCCATGAGGCAAGTGCCAAAATATTTTTGTATCATGCCTCTTTTATTTATATAGCATGAGTTTCTTTTATATGAGTGACAAATGCAAATATTTTTCATAAGGCTCAGATTTATCTACAACAATTTACCTCATGGACCAGAAATAGGCTGTAGATCCCTTTTGCAAATTTTCACTGGTACTTGATATGGTCTTACCGTGCCTTGCTCTGTGTTCCTGGTCCTTAAATATGATGACCCAAAATTACATATTAAAAGCATATACTCTTATGATTTCTCTTCTGTTCATGTAAGCAGGTGAGTACTTGATGTCTTCTGCAGCCTTAGAAGTGTGGCTTTCGGAACCTTTCCAACTCTGCTCTTTCTTGTTAACGTGAAGGGATAAATTATCATCAACAATTCAGGCTCCATAGCAAGCTGAGTCCAAGACAGTTTCTACTTAGTTCCACATGGTATGTTTCTCTCACGCTAATACCAAAGGGGATTGTTGTGGCAGCAGAAACCGGTCCTAAGTAATCATTAGCTTCATAGTTCAATCATGATGAAAATTAAGTGGTTTTTGCTTTCATATTTTTCAGAGCTTTAACAGAAGCATATGCCTGCTAAAACTTCTAAGTCACAGCGGTGGAAAAAGCACAGGAAGGAAACTAAGGAGTGCCAAGCTAATTTGAAAACCTATCTCTTTCCCCTTACCCCCAGCCCAATGAAGATGTGGCATGAGTATCTTTCACAAAGGAGAAAATTTTTAAGACAATAGGTGTTAGAGGTTGGGGTGTAGGTAGGTGCTGCAATACAGAAATTCTTTTTTTATCCCAATACATTTAAGAAGTAGGAGATGGGTGATAGAGGCCGTGGTGGAAGTGATTAATTTGTTGGCTATTAATCAAAAGGTCATGGGTTTGAGCCCACCAGACACACTCTGGGAGAAGGGCGTGCTAAACTGCTTCCACTCGGTAAAGATTTGCCAACTTGGAAGTCCTGCTGGGAAATTCTATTCTGTGCCACTGGGTCTCCAGGAGTTGGAATTAGCTCAGCAGGGGTCTGGGTTTTGGAGCTGGGTTAGATAAAGAGCTCTTCTATCTGACAGTGGGAAAAGCAAAACAAAAACCAGTTACCACGGAGTAGACTTCAAGTCATGGGGATCACATTTGTGTCAGGAGTAGAACTGGATATTCACTGGCTGATTCTGGAAGTTTACTGCCAGTTCGTTTCTTCCGATGTCCCGCTAATCTTTCCCTTAGCAGTCAAACGCATCAATGGTGGCATGACTCAGGGACTCCTAACTTACAAAAAGATATTCCAAATAATGGTTCATGGAGACGGTGCTCCAAGTACATTACCTGAGGATGCATGGAGCTGGCTTCCCTTTGCATGCTGGCAAAAGTGGAGGCAGGGAGCAAAGTGAGGATCAATTCTAACTTTTGAAAAAGTGGATTTTATGTCTAGGATTCCTTTCTCTCTTTTGGCTAATTACTGTTTTTAAGGGGTCCCTCCAATTCAATTCAAACTTAAAATTGCACTCGGTAATTGCATTTCCTTGACTTCAGCTGAGTCATTTGTGTTTTGGCATCGGGCTCAATTGTCCTAACATGTGTCTACTCACAAGAATGCTTTGATGTTAAACAGCCAGCTGAACAGAGAAGGCTAACGTCTTTTTGCATAATAGTCTAACATATAACATTACACTGCTGCAGCTTTCTCCACTTCAGATTTTCTGAGACAAATACTTCAACAGATAAGGAAAGGTTATTCAACATAATTGAAGGTGAAATCTTAAAATGAAAAGCTACTCTCTGGTAGATTTTGGATTCGAGAACATCATGGCACACTTTCTTAGGCACAAACACACACCGTGGGGTTTATTAAAGAAAAAAAATGTCTGCTAGTAAGATAAGAAGTTACTCTGCAGCACTTCCATTAACATACCAAATGGTGACTGAAAGCATTTGCAATTGAGCTGGTGATCTCACTGAGGAGGTCTTCCTAGCATGTAACTCATGCCAGTAACTTTAACTGCGGGAAAATGTCATTAAAAGAGAAAGTACGTATTTTAAAATACTGATTTATAATTTGTAAATCCAAATGATGAATTTTAACTGATTATAGATGAAAAGGAAACTTTTCTTAGATTATGCATTTTATTTATAAAATCCACTCAGTGCCACTTGATGGCATGTCTGATCAATTTTAGAGTGAAAAAGTTAGTAGAAGTCTTCAATTTATTTTTCATTAGCTGTTGTGGAATGAAAAGCTAAATAATAGTTGTATTAACTAGAATTTCTTTAAGCATATAGATATTAGCTTATCACAGAGAGTACTGTATTCAAGATAGATCTTAAAATGTCCTGTTTTTGGTGATGGATGTGAATTTGTCATCCCTGGCACAGTAAATCATGTGCTGGTCTCATTCAAAATGGCTAATACCAGTCCTTTTCAGCTCACTAATACCTAGCATATTGATATTTATGCATTCCAGTTCATTTTTGACAATTTCCTCTTTTCCTAGATTCATAATTTAAACACTCCCTGTTAAACTTAGTAATGGATATTTGCATTTGTTTTCCTTGGTTTTTCTTTCTCATTTTGAGTCTTACCCCATCAGCCAATGAAGATTCCCAAAGTTTTACTCCATCCACACAATTATGGTTGGCTCTACTTTGAGGTGGCAGCTCTTACTCAACCTGAGTGGTTATTATACCTGATAGTGTTTCATTGTTAATCCTCTAGTGGCTAATCTCTCAGAAATGGACAACTTATTCCAGCTCTTGGCATTATATCTGACAATTTTCCATTGCTACTTGGATACTCCCACCTTAAGTGGACAACATATTCCTTTTTCGTATTCTTTTTCAAGTCTGGGAGCGTTGCTAAAACTTGTAAATTTGGGGTCCCCAAGTCTGGTTTTAAGATCTGGTAAGTCAGGGTCACCTGCTGGTATTTTAAATACTGCTGACATCACTTCCAACATCACAGCATGCATGGCACTAAAGGAAAACAAACTGACAGACAAGTGGTGATCGATTAAATTAGGTATATGCAATTTCTAAAACCAGCAGACCACCTGAAAGAAATCATAAAAAAAAAAAATATTCACACAACACTCTTCTTCGCAAATGGCATCATCAATGCCTAGCTAGGTGCTTTATATTTACAAATGCAATGAAGACACTTCTTACCTTCACATGTCTCCGTCTCGGTCCGGAACACATAACCAGGTGGGCATGTGCAACTGTAACTTCCAGGTGTGTTTCGACACAGTCCATTATCACAAAGTAATCTGTTCACCAGGCATTCATCAATATCTGAAAGCAATCATCAGAGATAGGAGAGACATATGTGTATCACACAGACTATATAATATCCTACTACATTATATATTATTATACAGGAACACTGATCTATGGGGGTGTAGTGGGTTACGTGTTGAGTTGATGGTGAGATTGACGATTCAAAATAATTAGCTTCTCCATAGCAGAAATGAGGAGACTGTCTGCTCCCACAAAGATTTAAAATCTGAGCCACCCAAAGGAGCAGTTCTACTCTGTTCTTTAAGGCATCTATGAGTCGGCAGGCATTGGCTGTGACAGTAGGTAGAGGTTCACTATGAGTTGGAAAAGACTTGTGCAGCATCCAAGCAGTAACAACCGTGTCCACCATTTTATTATGCTGTTTGCATCTTCCTTCACTTTTTCCTGTAACTTCTTAGTGATTAGTTTTTCTATACCCACAACGCATAAAAATAGCACTAGATTTTATTCAGACAGAGCCATCTTAAGCTAGTGCCTTCTTTTAAGAAGGTCTGAATCACTGAGAAGGTATGGAGCACTTCAGGAAGGCCAGATTGAAAGCAACAACATAATGATGCCGCAGAATTCATTGTGACTCACAGTGGAGAGCTGCCTGATGGACAGGCGTTCCTGGCTGTGTCCTTCACAGAAGCAGTCTGCCTAAGCTCTCCTCAGGGGAGCCCCTGGGGAGTTTCTACCTCTGACCTTTCAGTTGTCAGCTGAGCACTTAACCACTGCATCCCCAGTGTGCCTCCAAGGACGTGCTGCTCACCTTTGTCTCCCTCCATGGGCCTCCTGTCCCGCCGTGGGGTTAGATGTGTTTGAAGACGCTGATGAAATCAGGCAAACTCATTTGCCTATAGTCTTGCTTATGTATAATAACATTAACAGCATGTAAAATTAGATATTTACTTTCTTCACTATTTCTCCAGTTAACATTCTAATAAGGAATTCATGGATCACCAGCTAAATCAAAGTATTCCCTAACTTTTCCCCAATGTTTCCACTCACAATTTATAGCTGCTAACAAAAAATGAGTGCTGTTATCGTGCATAATCCTTTAGTAGTCCGAAACAGCTTAGAGAACATCACTGACATCATGTGTTTAGAAAACATACATATTTTGCTCTTTTTGTGAAAAGTCTGAGTTTTGCAGATGTCATTAATTATAGAAAGGAATCAAAGTTGTAGTTTGGGGTGAAGAGTTTCCTTTATTTAAACTTATATTATTAGCCTTGAGAATATTAATTGTCCATCAAACAGTAGACAGCCATGGTAAAAGTTTGAAAAACCGAGATCATAAACACCTTTCCTATAATTTCATCACCACGGATGGTGATATATTTATATTTGATCTGATATTTCCTTTAGCTGTGATTGTTTTGTTCCAATTCTACGCCTTAATTTGAAAACATTAATATCTGTGCGAGCATTCTCCCTCCCTCCATTGAGTGTTCTTGTGTGTTGATGCTGACCCTCCTGACTCACGGGAGCCGCATACGCACGGAGCAGAATGGCTGGACATGACTTTGACAGCTGTGAGCTTTTGGAAGCGGATTGCCAGACCTATTTTATGTCGGTGAGTTCAAAGTGAGAGTCTTCAGACCAGTGAGTAGTCAAACACTGAACCGTGCGCACCACCCAAGACTCCTCTCCCCACTCTTGTATGCTCTTACAGCAGATGATTGCTTAACAATTTATTTAGCTGTATCTACATCTCTGCAACTTGGCTTACTTTTATTTTTTAAATCTAATTGTGTTTTATTAAATGTTACGTGAGTTCAATCCTTCCATGAATTGGATTTAGTGCGCAAATGCTCCATCTCTCTTTCTAGGAGGGAGCTCACATTCTCAAATGTATTTGGAATCTATACTCAATGGAGGTTACTTAACCTGCGCTCCCTGCCATTGAGCCAGTTCAATTCCAACTCATGGGCACCCTGTAAAGGGTTTCTGAGGCTGTACATCTTTTGAGCAGCAGGGAGCCCGACACTTTTCCAGAGGATCAGCTGGTGAGGTTGGGCTGCTCATGTTAGTTCTGACAAATAAAACTGTCCTGCACGATTTTAGAAAAGTTGAAGAATGCGAGGCTGGTGAGCTTGTTGCCCTGAAGACATAAAAATCAACGATACTGTAACTGTATCGCATTTAATACAGCATTATATGAGGAGGTTGGATAATGCTGTGTGGTTTATGTTAGGATGCTTTCTGAAAGGTTGGTCATTGAAACCCACTCAGTAGCACTTCAAAAAAAAAAAGGCTGGTCCCGGTTTGTTTACAGATGCTGTTGTTAGGTAACACCGAGTTGCTTTTGGCTGACAGCAATCCTATGTATGATGGACAGAGAGGTTGCTCAGTTTTGTGTTAGCCACACAATAATAGCCAAGAAAACCCTCTGAAGCAGTTCTATTTTGTAATACACAGGGTCACCATGAGTCAGAGTCAATTGGACTGTACCTAACAACAGCACAGCTTGATCCATCCGTCTGACTGTGTATCTTCAATCACGGTTAAATAGGTTGAGTTATGAAAAAGAGGAATTTATCAACATTTTGAAAAGAAATATACAAGAAGGTTTCAAAAAGTTTGTGGCAAAATGGAAGTGAAAGATAAATTGTACAAATAGAAGATAGCTATTGTGCAATGACATTTTTGTTTTCTATGTCCATGTATTAAAAAGAAAATCAGGAACTTTAGGATTCTCAGTCATTTACTTGTACTTGGACGAATCCCATCTATAACCAATTGGGTTGAACTGTTCCGAGCGAGTCTCCGATGAACATAAAAAGAACAGCACACTTACCGATACAGTTTCTCCCAGAGGCATCTGGTTCATAGCCACTGTTGCAATTACAACGGTAACTGCCACGTAGGTTTTCACAAATCCCATTGGCACATATATCGGGATCCAAAGCGCACTCATTGATATCTGCATTAAACGTGGACAGTTCAATGCTCACAATCACACTTTACTGTTTGTTGATAAATTCAGAGCTAATAATGGCAACTCAGCATACGGAGTTTTTACCTAACTCCACAAACTTACAATATGTCTGCCTCTCAGGAAGAAAATGAAAATAGGAGTAAGAGAATACAACGGAGAGACATAGAACACGCCATTCCTAAGTTAAAGAAATCTGAAGGGAACATTCAAACCAACGAACCATTAGCTGTACCTGTGTTCATGAAAAATTAATGAAGAACATGTATTGGGTGTTGGCCCCAAATCCAAAGGGAAGCTCAACTTCATAGCTATGGTGACTACCTAATTTGAAGACGGAGATGTATGTATTAGGGTGGCATTAGATGTATTCGTGTGTTGCTTCCATTTTACAATTCTAATAGGTGACTAAGTAACATGGTATTTATGACATGTCCCTCCTTGTTGGTGACCTGATATGAAAGGAGAGGATGGTTCAAACATGGCTGCTTCAGAACAGGATGTTCTCAGGGGGACCTGGGACTACGTGCTTGTCTGTGAGGCCAATCGTTCCTGACATGCATCTGGCTCTGTTGGAAAGGTCACAGAGAAAGGGAATATAAACATTAAATTTTGGCCTTAATGCTCACATTTCTGGTGATACTGTTTTCAGGAATTTGGATGACCTTCTTAAATACTGCAGAAATGCTAATCTTTTTCTATTCCTTTTGAGAAAGCTACCTTTGTAAAAGAGAGTTTACTTCTTCACTCTGGCTCCCAATATTGCAAAGATTCAACATTACTGACAAGTGATCTAGTAACTTTCTAACCTCTCTCCAAAGATGAAAGTAAGAGGACACATATAGGTACAATGAAGACTGAGCAGTACCTTACAGTGTTATTTAAAAATATAAATAAAACTGTACATTGAATTAAAAGATAAATTTAAAATTATGACCTATACATACAACACACCGTATATGTGCATATTGAAGATTACATATTTAAATTTTAACCATATAAACTAATTCTAAAATCAGAATATTTTAATGACTTACTTCCTTAGATATAAACATTTTAAGATTCATAAGCAAATATTGCCTTGATTTATCATTAGTGCAGTGTTTTTTGAACTTGTACTGCATTCATTACCTCTTAAAGGCTTTAAAAAAAAAACATAAATGCACTATTATGTATTTTTTCTTTAAAACAGACTTATTCTTTTATTTTTTAATGTAAGCACCAATTTTGCCTCTTCTTATCCATAAAATCATGGATATTCTGTGTTAACATTTTTGACAGTTTGTATTTAACAGATAAGTGTTTACCCAAGATGAAAAATGTGCATCTATAAACCCCTTAAAAGAATGTAGACTATAACTAGTGCTTTAAGAGATAATTTATCTTATTTTATACTGCTGTGTTCTGATCATATCTACTATCATTATGTTAATAACATTAGTATGTAATGAGTCTCACAATTACATAAGATAATTGTCACGACGTCTAGAATGAGCTGCAGTTACCTCTTCCATCCACAGTGATGCCTATTCCACTGCTACAGAGACCATGGAATTCAGCTGTACAATAAAAGAAAAAAATAAAGCAATTAAAAACCATAAACCGTAACTGTTCCATAACTCCAAAACTACCATGATGTATAAATTTTTAATGAAAAATTAATCGCCATTTTGAAGTACATAATTATTATAAGAATTCCAAAATCACATATAAGAATTAAAATTGCATAGACTACTTAGGGTAAATATGATTCCACAGCTTTTAACAACAACAATGACTTGTGGTGATCCTCTTGAATAGCACTAATAAGAGCAAATATACTTATGTACTTAGGGCAAGATTCTCTTCAGTATTATACTTCACAAAATGTTATGTTCAGCAAGTCTTCTAGATATTACCCAATCATTTGAAATTTTGAATACTTCACTCCATTGAGGATGTTTAGCAGAATTAAAAGCCAATTGCTTTGCTAGAATGTTTTTCTCTTACATCTTCCACCTGCAGAGTTCTTAATGTTTCTCAGGACCAACGTAACCATCTCTCCACGGTGAAGTCTTCCTCAGTTTCCCAAGGCAACTAATTGCTCCCTCCTTTGTAGTATGACAGTTCTTTGTTTGTATTTCCTTCAAGGCACTAATTACTTATAAATCAAAAGTTAGTCTTAACCCGTAATTTATAATATTTGCCTGCCTGCATCCTTAATGAACCTCACTTCTTAGGGGGGAAAAAAGATTAATTTGAATTTCTACTACCCTCACAAATAGTCAACAAAAATTTAGTAATATATGAATAAGTAAAATTCATTGACCTAGAAATGTAGAATTAATGATAAACTACTAGCTGAAACCTTTATGCTGAGCTTTTAAAAATAACCCTCAGACTTTTTAAGTATTTATAAAGTGACAGTTTTTCTGCTAATTATTTTTATTATGGCACCGTCAGGGAGATCAAATCTAATGAATTCACATAAAATTTGTTTAAACGATCATAAATCAGCAAATAGTTTTTTTTAAAATTGCTATGTGTTCCCTCTGATTAGAATTGCTTATGGGGTGGCTTCAAAAAGTTCACGAAAAAAATCCATTACCACCCAGTTCCATTTTCTGTGCCCTTGTTCTGGAGCCTCCGAGTAGAAACACATGCCGAATCTTCTAATATGCTTCACTTACCTATGCAGAATCAGATTTCTTTCCTTAATTAAAAATAATGATGGAATACTTCAGAGCTGATGTAGTCTTTGGCCAAAGGCATAATGTTGAATTTCTAGATTTCTTTTTAAAATCAGGTGGGAAGATAGCAAATGTGAATACCTGAGTTTTTAGCAGGGCATGGCTGACACGGCTCTCCAAAGCCGTAGTCAGGGTTGGCACAGCAGCATTCAGACTTGGTCACCGCACCAGGGAAGGGACGCACACACAAGCCCTTCTTGATTCCACCATAGCAGGTACTGCGCATGTGAGTATCTGAAGGAGACAGAGACCAGGGACTTGAGCTAGTGAAGGCGACAAAGATACTTCCAAATGGGTGGTTTCTTTCAAACTTAAGTGATGCACTTGACAGGAAGCTTCTAGAAGGAATCGGCCACCCAAACACACACACACCCTTTGCACCGAGTGTTAAGACATCAACAAATGTGTGTTGAGTGAAGGAATGACTGAATGCATACCAAGCACCCCCGTTCCCCCCCCTCACATTTCACGTGTGGCACACATATCAGTGATCCCACATATCCTCACAAGCCTTTTATTGAACCAAATGCAGTCCCACTTCTAGACAACAGTCTGCACTGCAATCACCTTTCTGGCTAGTGATTGTGAACCGAGAAGGCAGCACATCCTTTTTTGGAACATGGAAGCACTTCCCTGAGACCCTTCCAGACCTTGCTCTAAATGCCGCTTGGTTTACGTCTTCCTTTGATATATGAAAACCGCACCGTAGGGATGGTAGTTCCCGAGAGTTTTGTGAATTGCTCTAATTAACTATAGGACTTGAAGTAGTAGAAATGGCTGACTCGTGTAAAATGGAAAAAATGATGTAGATTCCAAAGGAGTAGAGGAAAAATCTCAAATTGGGGACCAGTTGGTATAAAGTAGAACGAGTCATCGGGACTCCTGAGCATGAAGTCAGTACCCAAGGCCAGTGCGTGCTGAGTGAGAGGGCTGCTTGAGAAGCTGTCCACATAGAGCAGTTAAAGGAAATTGACATTTTTAACCACACACAGTTGGTTTAGGGAACAGAGTCAGAAGTGGGCAATTTTAGTTTCTTTGGACAACTTCACTTACATCTATCCCAAACTCTTAATCTTCCATTGGGCCCCAGATAAACATATCCTGTTTAGTTATTTTACCATTCACTCTATAAAACTGAAAACACCCAAATCACTCCCACTGAGTCGATTCTGACTGACAGCACGTCTGCAGGACGGGGTAGAACTACCCCTGTGGGTTTCTGAGACATCAACCCTTTAGGAGACTAGAAAGCCTCATCTTTCTCCCGAGGAGCAGCTGGTGCTTTTCAACTGCGGATCTTGTGGCTTACAGACCAACACATAACCACTACGTGACCAAAGCTCCGGTTCACTCTCTAATTGTAAGAAATGCACAACAACTTTATGAAACAGTAAATAGTCAACTATGCAAAACTCAGATTATCATAAAGACCAGAGAAGGAGGGACATTTTTAACAAGTATATACTTACTGTGTAATTCCATCACAAAGATACTCTTATAATAAATTATAATCATCCCCCACTTGTTTGAAATCATTTTATGTGATCGTTACGTGGTGTGATTCACCTAATAATAGCTCATGATCCTGGAATGTTTTCCAAGAAAACAATTAAGACAAATGGCTCCACTTAACCATGAGGTTCGTGCATATTACTGGTTCTGGAAGAGCCATGACACTTACCACCTCAGCTCGAAGAGAGGCTGTGCCACCACCCTCCTTTTCTGTGGTGAAGCTTTGTAGACACCTCTGAGTTACACACAAGTGCAAGGTTTGGTGCAAACATCACTTGAACAACTAATCACAGAGCCCATGATTTCCACTACGATTTTAGTGAGCGCTTAGGATGTCATGGATTACCTCAAGAGGTATCATGAAATAGTTCCCCTTATTTTTCTGTCTCCTTGAGAAGAAAGCATGTCCGCTTTGAGAGGTCAATGACAAAGCTCAGGGAACGGCATTGGAAGAATGGTTTGCGTTACAAGTTAGTTAAGTTCTTTGGCGCACACACAACATCAGAAGTTTCATGAATAAGAACTAACATAACAAACCTGGGTTTATTTTAGGTATCTGAATTGTCCTGGGTGCAGACAGTCACAGGATGGTCATAGGTAAATAGCATATGCACTGAACAGAAGTAGAGCGTATCTGACTAACAGTGTATTTGTTAAGTATGACATACAGGGCTGAGGACACACAGTGAATACTCAAAAAAAATGGGGGTGACCTTCTTTCCCTTCTTTAATGAGGGCAATCTTTCAGTTCAGAGACTTCAAACTGCACTGCTAGTTCAAATGATCTTATCCAAATGTGTCATCCAGCCACTAATACGGTGGGAGATTGTATCTGGATGCTCACCTGGATTTTTTCCATATGTTGTCACATTCTCCATGTCTTTTCTTTGTCAAGAATCCATTTTAAGAGACTTTACTGAGGGTATCAGTAGATTCTATATGCCACTGGTGAAATATACATGAATGGAAAAATGCTAATTTTCTTCTATATCTTTTTTATCATCTTTTCTTTGTTTAAAGCAGTCATTCTGTGACTTTTTCCTATGTGTACTCCGTTTGATAATTCAATGAAAGTATCTTTATTGTAATAGCTAACTTACCGAGCATTTTGTACATGTAATTGTTCTGTTTTACCAGATAACATGTAGAATATAAATTTATTTAGATTTCCGAAAAAATTGATAAGGAAAGGACACATAGGTAACATCTTGCCCAAGGTCACACAGCTAATGAGTGGTGGATCTGAGATAGAAGAAAATTAAACTTTTGACTGTCAGAGTGTCAAGCAGTATTCAGAAAGATGGATTTTTCTAGAGCTAAAGAAACAGGATATTTAAAAAAATTAAACTGAATACCTATGGCACTAATATCAAATACCATGGTGAATTTTGAGACCTCCCATCCCGAAGGAAGTAGTCTTCAGAATACATTTATCTTATTATTAAATACCCCTCGAAAACAAGAATATATAAAATTCAAGAAAGTAGTATGATAGGAGGATTTTTTTTGTGTGAGGATTTGTTTCAGTCTCAGAAACCAACAGGGGCTAGCTATGAGTCAGCACTGACTCTGGGGGAGAGTTTGGCGTTTTTTGCTAAGGGCTGGGCTTGGGCACTCGGGAGCTCCCTGCCTTACTTCAGGGCAGGAGAAGAGAGGATTCAAAGAGAATATTTGGAGAACTCTGTTCTCACCCCTGCCTAAGATCTCTCAAAGGCCAGTCTGGCAGGTGAATTCTAGGGCAGGAACAAAGTGGTGAGGGTAAAGTCAACCTCTACTCACACGGGACGAGAGGACACAGGATGGGTGTGTCTTAGGGACTGCACATAAACTATGTTACCTGGAGAGGTGATGGGATGCCATGAGAAAGTCTGTGTGAAATAGACGACAAGCCAGAGGCATGACAAGGTGTGAGCACTAGGAGAAAAATGGCCCAGCCATAGCTCAGGGAGGGCAGTTGAACTCTTCTGAAGTTCCCATCAGAACACCCACAAGGAAGAAGTTGGCTACAGAGCTCCGTGAAGCACACAAATCTTGAAGCCATCTTAAGACAGTACCAGTAATATAAGAAATTTCTGATCTCATCCTCTTTTCTCTCCTACCCTCCCAGGACCCTGGGGGAGTAAAACACGTTTCCATTATAGAGAGTCCAAGCATAGAGAGGGGAAGAATTTTAATTTAAAATTAAAAATAATTATTAAGTAGTACTGGACATCCTAATTTATTAATTGAGATTATTTTTGCTATAATAGTATTCGTAGAACTTCTTTTACCTAAAAACATTCATTTAGGTTATGGGGTAGCCTGAGTTTTCTTCCTTCTTTTGGGATAAACTCCTCTTATTGATCATAAAAAGAAAAACCAAAAACCCAACTAGCTTCCATCAGGCAGATTTTAACATACAGTGACCTTATATGGCGGTTCTGGTACTGCAAATCTTTACAGGAGCAGGCAGTCTCTTCTTCCTCCCTCAGATGGGCTGGTGGGTTTGAACTGCCAACCTAGTGGTCATCAGGCCTATGCTAAGCATCACCAGAAGTGCGGAGACAAAAAAATAAAACTGCCCTTTGTTTACACTGATGCTTACAAGTCATGCTTTTTCAACATACTAGTTACAATAACTTTAATTTTCTGAAACCTCCCCCAAACCAAAACATAGATAGCCCACAGTTCAGTATCTGGACAATCAAAATAAATAACCAAAAAGTAGATATCTAAAATTAAAGTGCTAACTCTAATGAACCATGGTAGTGACTTTTTCCAATTTCAACAATCAATGTCTCTCACAAAGAATGGCTCTCACATTTTTCAAAGGAAGAAGACATAAAGAAAACACATCTAAGTGTGTTATGGGAATAATGATAAATAACTTTACAAATAACAAATGTTGTTTTTATTTTTAAAGTTTACTTAACCATATTCTTTAAAAATGAAAAAGGGCTTTCAAACAATCTCTGATGACATGTATTTATAGACATCTAAATAAGAGAATATTTTGCATGTGTTTGAGCACTGAATTCCTAACAACCATTCATATGTTCACTGCCAAAAATAATCCCCCCCAAATTGGCTTTGCACTCACTGGTGATTTCAGCCAAATCATTTAAGCCAAGGGAAAAATCAACTCGGTGTCTTAAAACAACTGAATATCGTTAAACTTCCTATGCAGGAAGGAAGTACATTCTTCTAGTTGCTGCATTTGAAATATCCCTGACCAACGTGCTGACAACTTTGCAGGCTGAGATAAATCCTAGATTGGAGAGAGTGGACGGACTTGAGGGAATAGATTATTTCCATCTGCTTCTTCCTCTCTCCCAACCCCTTCAGGGTCCAAATGTTTTGATTCACATAAATAAGAGTAAAGAATGATCAACCATGTCTCAGAAAGAATTTCATTTTTCTGAACTAGACTTTTAAACCATTGATCATGTTTGTCTTTCACTCCATGAAACTGGAAAGCCGAGGTTGTACAATGGCTTGTTCAGAAATGCTCCGGAGGGGGAAATCATCGAGCAGTCTTTTTGTAACTCACTCTGTGACTGTTACCATCAGAGAATGCTGGCTGGGGGTTGAAAACCAGTGATACATCTGTGCTGCCTGCCGTTTCAAAGCGGACGCCTGGCTGATTTCCTGATTGATTTTGCATGGAATCCACCTGACCAACTATCCAAGAGGAATTCCGAATGGCTGAGAATAAAATGCATACTCTCTCATACTCCCCACTTGCTTCTATGGTTGTTTGCAGGGTGGATAACTTTTTAAAAATAGCCCCAGTTCTTGATGTAAATCCAGTTGCAGTGTAGTAAGCCATCTACATTTTAAACTTTGGGGAAATCCACGAGTACACTTAAATGTAACTGTAATCCTCCTCCCCTGCCTTTTATGTCTTATTTGTTAACAGTTTCAAAATCTGAATCCCTTGGGTTCAGGAACTGTTATTTGCCCTTATCAAGGATGCTGTTTCAAGTGAAACATTTTCTTCAGGATTTTTTACTTGCGTCCCTTCGGAGGTTTCTGAAGTTGTCTGGGCTCTCTGCCCACATCTCAAAGGCCACGGGGGCACTGGGACCATTACTAGAATGGTTCACTTACCAACACAAACCCTGCCATCCACTCCCACAGCCAGGCCAGGGGGACAGTCACATCGGAAGGACCCTTCGTTGTTGATGCAGTGTCCGTTCATGCAGATTCCTGGGGTCTGGCATTCGTCAACATCTGCCCAGAGGGGGAGAAAAACCAGGGCCATTACTGGGCACCTTTAAAATGAGATATCATTCACATCTGCTATCTAATTCCTTTTACTTTTTGTTGCTGCTGTGGCTGAGAATGCACACAGCAGAACACTCACAGATTTCAAGTTGCTACATGTATGGTGACACCAATTGCATTCTTCAAGTTGTACAAACATTTTTACCCTTCCTTTGGGTTTCTTCCCCGTTAACATAAACTCACTGCCCTCTGAGTTCCCTTACTCATTTCAAATTGCTGTTGTCTATTTGATAGAGATGTAGAGCTAGATCTTAAAAGAGCATAATGCTCAAGGCAGACATTCTCTACCAGTTCAACTAACCTATATCTTGGTTTTCTAAAAACGCCAAGGGCTATTTTGGTTAAAGTTAAAGATTATTTCATGGCAATAGCTTCAGGGGTTCATTCAGGACCCATGACTCCACAAAGTCTGGAACCCAAGAGACTTTAAACTTCTGTTACAAAGTAAAAATCTACCTCCATTTGATCAATATTATTATATAGAATTTTCAATCAAAATACTCTATTATTAGACTTAAATTGAACTTTTCCCACAGTTTACTGTTACCATTACCCTAAACTATCATCTTTTTGTTTTTTACTTTCTAACTTCTGGAAGGATGCATAGATGTAATGAAAAACTTTTCAAATACCGTATATACTCGAGTGTAAGCCGACCCAAATAAAGGCCACGACACCTAATTTTGCCACAAAAACCGCATTAAAAATGTGCTGGAAAAACTCAGCTTATACACGAGTATATATGGTACATTTTTAAAAAGATTAACAGAGTGATGGCCATTAAGAAAAAAAATATAGGACTCACTAATTTCTTTCTCATTATTTATTTTTAACCCTGTTTAATTAAGATGATGTTTTCATTCAAATTAGTTAAGCAAAATACATTCTTAAAACATTAAGTCAAACTTTAAAATTACTTTTTATTTTCACACTCAAATAACTTTAAAGTAGATATTTTTTGAATATTAACTTGACCAATTCACAATTAAAAAAAATTTAGGTACCGCTTCTAATATGTATCCCATTTTTATTTATCAAATGTAACTTCACATGAAATGGCTTTTCCAAATGATGCAGAAGGCTTTATAAAAGACAGATCTGACAAATATGGACACGTCAAGATGTTATGATTACCTAAGAAAGTGAATGGACATTAATTTCCAGAAAGCAGAAACTAGTTATATCTAGGTAACCTCTGTACATGTATTTTATTTTCTTAAGAAATGCAGAAACAAAGTTACATACTGTAACATAATGCTACACTCCAGAACATAATTCTGATCCCTAAACCCACACAAGACGAAACCCACTCTCATCAGTCCATTCTGACTCAAGGGGATGCTGGCCCGCCATACAACAAAATGCATCCTGTGGTCCAATCCTGTGGCATCCTTACAGGTGTCCTGTTTAAGCCCACTGACACAGCCACCGGGGCAATCCATCTTTGTGAAGGCCTTCCTCTTTTTCCATGCGTGTCTACTTTACCAAGCACAATGCCCTTCTCCAGGGATTTGTCTCTCCTGACAACATGTCCAAACCTTGTGAGAAAAAGTCTCTCCATCCTTGCTTTAAGGAGCATGGTGACAGTATTTCAGAGTGACTCTAAAGTGATCATATAAGGCAAAGTAAAATTGGCCCAGAGTGTTTCTAGGCGGCAAATCTTACAGAAGCCACATGTCAACATCTTTCTGTCGGGGTGCGGCTGCTGGTTTCAAACAGGCTATCTTTCATTTAGCAGCACAGTGCTTTCAGCTACTGGGCCACGAAGGCGCCTTCTAATCTCATATCCGAGGTTAAATCCAAGTCCAGCGACCTTGAGATGACATTCCAATCATTACCTCATTCAGCAAAGCTACAATATTTCTACTACACCCTGTACTTTCCTTTCTTGGAGAGTCAAAAACCTATTTGTTCTTTAGAGACATGAGAATCATATTTCTCTTTCTTTCCACCATTCCATTGGAATTACAAGGGTTGATTATGCGTCTTATTGGTATTCAGGTAAGTGTGTGCAACGGAAGAATTCGTCAAGTCACTTTTTACTGAAAGGAGGAAACTGGAAAGGAAAAAGGAAAACTCAATGCATTTCTAAGTAGGAACTACAAAATGTGTTCTGCTTCACTGAATTCCAGACATAAATAGTTCCATTTATGTATAAGAGGTAAATTTACTGCTTATGAAGGCAGTGGTACTTAGCCTTCAATATGAGTTGATATAAAAACAACAAAAAGAATATACTAATTATTTCTTCACAAAAATAGAGATTTTTCAGTCATGATACAGTCTGTTTCCAAGTGGTGGATTCATGTTATGAAAAAAGATGTAAACGTAGACCTGTCACACCCAACAGTAAAAAAACTAGCTCTCAAAATAGGCACCAGAACAATGCAAATCTTGCTTCATTTTTCAGTAGGAAAGGAGCAGGGAAAAATGATTTGCACACTGCCTCCTCTAGACCTGTCAGCCTCTTAACTTCCCCTCTATCATTTTCATTTGTGCACGGACCTTATTGTTCTCTAGACCACCGTCTGTATTTTTCTAGAAAGCTTTAGAAACCTGCCTGACTGAAGTAGAGAGAGATATGAATAATATGAAATCCACACGAAGAAACCGAAGTACCTCTTCCATGACTCATTCAAATAAGAAAGGTGGTTTCGATCATAGTTACTTTGCTATTTCAATGCCATATTTACCAGTGCAGTAACGCCCATTTGGAGCCAAGACAAACCCTGGTTTGCAGATGCACTTGAAGCTTCCATCTTCATTAATGCACATCCCATTCAAACACATGTTGGTGGTTGTACACTCATCGTGATCTGCAGAAGGAAAGAGAGAGTGATTGAGAGCCCTGGACTTGAGGGAACGCATTTTCTTTCCTTCAGCAACAGGCCACAATCAAATTCCACTACATAGATGAGCCATGTACTCAAGGCTTCTTTATTTATTTTGCCTTGTTTTCAAAAGATAAATGTCAACTGAGTGTGAATAAATACTGTGCAGATGGTGAAGGACCTTTGATATAAGGACATACAAAAAAAGATTTCAATAAGTGTTGTGTTTCTCTGCTCTGAAAAATCTAAATCCACTGCTGCTGCATTGGCTCTGAGGCACAGTGAGCCTGCAGGACAGGGGAGAAGCTCCCCACAGGGTTTCCAGCGCTGTAATCTCTACAGAAGCAGACTGCCACATTTTTCTCCTGCACAGTGGCTGTGTGGGAGGAAACCAGCAGTCTTTTTGATGGCGGCTGAGCATCTAACTCCTGCTCTACTAGCGTTTCTTTTATCTGCTATTACCACATCAATCATGAGTAGTTCATAGTGAACACTGAAAAAAGTGATTTCAGTAATAAGATTTCAGCGAGTATTTATTTTGTAAAAGAGAATAATGTAAGGGAAAATCTCACTGCAAGTGAAATGATCTGGGCTTTTGTTAGTAAGTGAAATATGTTACCAAACATTTTCTGCATTTCTCTCCCTTAGAGAGAAAAGATCTTTCCAATTTTGTCACCCCCAAATGTGGGATCAAGCCGATTCTGACTCACAGTGATCCTACAGGACATTGTAGAACAGCCTTAGTGGGTTTCCAACACTGTCACTCTTTACGGGAGCAGAAAGCTTCATTTTTCTCCCATGGAGTGTGCTGGGGTTTCAAACTTCTGACTTTGCCAGTTAGCACCCCAACTTGTAACCTACTATGGCTCCAGGTCTTCCTGAGATATAAGTATACTATGAACGATTTGAACTGATCGTGAATAACTGCTACTCACAACTCAACAAGGCTTCTTGGTGGAGCAGCTGTTAAGCACTTGGCTGCTAACCAAAGAGTCGGCCATTGGAATACACCCAATGCTCCACAGGAGCAAAGACAGGCAATGTAGTCACACTATCAGCCCAGGACAAGCCAGGGGGCATTTGCACTTCATCCTCAAGGTCAGCATGAGTCAATCTGCTTGGCGGCACACAACAACTCTGAAGCATATGTTACACAGAAAATGTCCAGAAGCAGCAAAGCTTTTCATTGCTAAACATTTCTAAATGTCCTTTTGTTCCCTTAAACAGTCTCATGTTAAACACATTTCTGGGGCCAGACCAAATCCAGGCATACATATGGTAGCCAACTAAAAAGGAGGTGGGGGGAAAAAAAAAAGAAATGGGTAGCGGGGGCACAGGGCACTAACCCACCCAAGGGGAGGGTATTGTTTCTATCTCCACATGGAAAGAGGGACCAGACTTCAACCCGGTGCTCCAAGATGTTAATGCAACATGTCGGCGTGGAGTAGGGAACCAGTGGAGAGGTCTGAGGGGCCGGCCCCAATCCCAATACATGGACACCTGCCGCTCCCCTCAGAAGACTTTATTTCAGAGAACAGCACTGAATCTGCAGCTCTGGGAGAGGGATATGTCTGATCAGAGCACACAGGAGCAAATGAAGGGGGAGGAAGAGAGAGTGGAGCACATCCTGGCCCACCAAGCCTTGAGGATG